CACCCCAGCTACGGCCACGTCGAAAGTGTTGGTTCTATCTTCCTCCCTCGACAGAACTCCCCAAGCCTCATGCTCCTCTCCGGGTCACAGAGCAAAAACACTCCAGCACCGGCCTGCGTCGTCCAAGCCCCTTCCTGCTGACCTACTAACAAAACCCACAGTCCCCCCTCGGTTGCCCCCCCTTCCCCCTCTTACCCCGCAGTCTTCTTGGAGCGAGCCCCCGTAAGAACAACATCTCAATAGGGGAAACACCCTAAAGAAAGGAACTGATACTGCCCACCACCTACACCTATCCAACCCTACTCCGGCAAGACTTACTGCAGTGGAGCCACCATCTCCCCTGCTGCTGTGCCCTAATTCCACTCTGCAGTTAGCCCCTTCCCACAGAGCGCGTCCTTTCCCTCCATCATATCATCCTACCCCCTCAATACAGCCCCTTCCTTAAGGGAAAACGAACAAAATTAGGCAAAACTAAGTGAAAATATGTACGAGATTCCAACGTCGAATCATGAAGGTGATCAGTGCAAAAATTAGCTTCCAAACAGATGCAATAGGATGCAATAGGATCAGATTACAGCAGCAAGATCTTGGGATGTAAATTCGAAGGATGATTTAGGCATAGTTATAGAGGTTATCTAAGTTATTCGAATCCGGACTCTCGATTGCAAAGGATCAGAAGTGTTTGTAGAGAAGTCCATAGAAAAATTCATAGGACCTGAGTATAGACCTTAACTTTGTTAAATCGAAAATTACGATTTTCTTGTAGGAAATTCCTAGGAAATGTCCTCAAATGAGTATTATCAAATTTACCGCAAATAACAACTGTATGACGACTGTATAGCAGAAGACCTAATATCTAAGATCACGAAATTCAGAAACGCAGGATTGCTCAAAAGACAACTATCATGAGAGATCAGGGGAAAGAAATCCGAAAGATCCATTCCGGGCGAAGACCGGTTTTAGCAACGAAATCAGAGGCACAAATCAGATCAAGAATTTAGGATTAGGATTTGCAAAATAGGGCGTGGAGCATACCAAGTAATAGCAAACGATAAAACTTTTGAAAGCTAGCGAAAGATCTACCAGGTACCTCTCCAAACCAGAGAATCATTTCCGTTTCCGTACACACCATATCATGTCCCTCATCCCCCCCAACCTCCACCTCCTGCTTCATCAGCTCGTAAGCACCTCAGCCATCTCGTGGTCTGCACTTCTCGCAGCCATCTTCATATGACTGAGTGATGAAGATTAACGGACCGTGGCCTTAAACTTACCTCATCTCAGCCACGTAGCAAGACTCAACCACCGCACCCGTCGATGGCCCCTCACTGGCAGTCCGGCGAGAACAGGAACGTCCATGGTGAAAGGGACCCAATAGATTCTGCTTCCTTCAGCAGCACGTCGTTGCGCAGCAGGGTCCGGGGGTAGCCGTTCACGACCCGTCGTCACCACTCATCTTGATCGCACAAGCAGCTCCCCTTCATTTCTTCGGAGTAGCAAACCCACACCGCGCCGCTCCTCGCATGACAAAGCCACCGTGTGAAAGCCCTTCGAGCAAGGATACTCCGACTCCAACCAGCACACTTCAGCGCTTAGAGGAAGGCGATATGGCAAGGCTTGACATGAACACGCTACCATACATGGCCACTCAAGACATCCGTAATCCACCCCGCCATCGCCACACCCTCACGCCATCGTCCCTGCGCGCGCCGTTTCCCGTGTGAACTCGTCAATCCGAAACCCGCGCTTCGGTTCGCCGGGGCGCAGCGCTCCCGGCAGCGCTGCGCCCCAACCCTTGTCCGCTATACAAAATTTTGTACCTGAGTTCACTACGAGCCACCCCACCAGTACCAGTACCTACGGGTTGGGGCGGCCGTTAACGCAGAAGCCGAACCGGCCTGCCCCTCCGGTCCAAATTCATTCGAGGCCAGGGGGTACGAATGCGGTAGGTACTGGTGGTTTAAGTGCTACACAACTGTGAAGCCACCAGCTTTTGCAATTCACAAGGTAGGGGCACTATTAATTTTCTTCCACTTAACCATTCCATCCGGTTAGGACCGGATTTTTCTGAACTGACGCTGGGATTTCACTTTCTCCACCCCCCCCCCTTTTATTTGTCTTTCTTCTTTCTCTCGTTTCTACTTCTTCACACTTGAATCTCCCTTCCTAGATGCCCTTCACAGAATTGCAATCAGGAGAATATTATGAAAAAAGAAATATACGAAGAAAGAAAGAAGAACAAGAATCACAATTGGGAGCCAGAAAGAGAGAACGAAGTCCAAATTTCCAAACCAGCAACCCCACACTCCCAAAAAAGGGAATAAAAAAGGAGCTCACATCTCCTTCATAGATGACTGCCTTCTAGAGTTCGCCCCACTCCAAAAAAAGGGGCCCGTCACATGTATGAAGGAGATGCGAATATGGTATGAACGAGTACTCGTCATTCTGAACACCGCCGACAAGATACCCAACCCTAGTCCCAAAAGACAGGTCATGACAGATTCTGGATCTCCTCAGGTTCCATGAACTTCCATCCATCCCCGTCTGCTCTCTCTCTCTCTCTCTCTCTCTCTCTCTCTCTCTCTCTCTCTCTCTCTCTCTCTCTCTCTCT